CATGATTCCAGTTCCAAGGGAACGTACACGTTACATTCAAAGGGCATTAAAGTGCGTGAGACGTGAATTTATATTGTATTTATTTACAGAGGTAGGGGAGAGCGGGGCACAAAGTAACACTTTTTGACTTTCTCAGTTTGTGTAAATCCACATGGGGTTAAGAATATATATATTTTTATCCACGGTAATTTTACACTTGTCTAGTACAAATATGTCGCTTTGTTTCATAATTACAGTGTATACGTTTTTCTTTATTTACCCTCAAAAAATGGAAGTGAAATGTGACAACATGCCCCTGATGGTTGACTTTCTACAACTTTCTCCCATCTCCCGACTGCATCTCTGGAGCTCAGCCACAGTGATCTAGTGGGTACGTCAGACCCCCTTAAATTTTTCACTCTTTGTTATATTGCAGCCATTTGCTAAAATCATTTAAGTTCATTTTTTCATTTTTAGATGCAGTCGGGAGATGGGAGAAAGTTGTAGAAAGTCAACCATCACTGCAGCCCTCCACCAGTCGGGGCTTTATGGCAGAGTGGCCCGACGGAAGCCTCTCCTCAGTGCAAGACACATGAAAGCCTGCATGGAGTTTGCTAAAAAACACCTGAATAAGATTCTCTGGTCTGATGAGACCAAGATATAACTTTTTGGCCTTAATTCTAAGCGGTATGTGTGGAGAAAACCAGGCACTGCTCATCACCTGTCCAATACAGTCCCAACAGTGAAGCATGGTGGTGGCAGCATCATGCTGTGGGGGTGTTTTTCAGCTGCAGGGACAGGACGACTGGTTGCAATTGAGGGAAAGATGAATGCGGCCAAGTACAGGGTTATCCTGGACGAAAACTTTCTCCAGAGTGCTCAGGACCTCAGACTGGGCTGAAGGTTTACCTTCCAACAAGACAATGACCCTACGCACACAGCTAAAATAACGAAGGAGTGGCTTCACAACAACTCTGTGACTGTTCTTGAATGGCCCAGCCAGAGCCCTGACTTAAACCCAATTGAGCATCTCTGGAGAGACCTAAAAATGGGTGTCCACCAACGTTTACCATCTAACCTGACAGAACTGGAGAGGATCTGCAAGGAGGGATGGCAGAGGATCCCCAAATCCAGGTGTGACAAACTTGTTGCATCTTTCCCAAAAAGACTCATGGCTGTATTCGATCAAAAGGGTGCTTCTACTAAATACTGAGCAAAGGGTCTGAATACTTAGGACCATGTGATATTTCAGTTTTTCTTTTTTAATAAATCTGCAAAAATGTCAACAATTCTGTGTTTTTCTGTCAATATGGGGTGCTCTGTGTACATTAATGAGGAAAAAAAATGAACTTAAATGATTTTAGCAAATGGCTGCAATATAACAAAGAGTGAAAAATTTAAGGGGGTCTGAATACTTTCCGTACCCACTGTATATATATATATATACACACATATCATTTTTTTTTGTTCAAATAAAATAATGGCGTTTTTTAAGAATTAAAAATAATCTGTGTAAACAAAATTGCCAGACAAAAAAACGACTATAGCTGTGGTTAAACGCGATAAAACGAGCAGACTGGACAGAAAGGATCGTCAAAAATGCTCGGTTTACAGCGCACACTTATCAGAAAAGCTTCAATAAAGTATTGTCTTTTGTTGTTATGGGCGCGTCTACAGATTTCTTGCCATATGTCTATGTTTCTTGCATCTCACGACTATGTCGTGTATGAAATAATGTCTGTGTTCATGTGTGTAAAACAACAAACTGACGGTTTATATATAATCATTTGTAATTGTATATACATTGTTGTGATTAATTGTGGCTGGAACAATAATGTAGCTGTAAAAATAGTTGCTTGCTGAAATTGAAATGTATATACATCTTCATCATGACTAGATAGACACTAGTAATAGTTTGCGTGCTGTTTTGTTGTATTTTAAAGAGTTAGCCGTCAAAATTAAAACTGCTGGATGATATTCTTCATTCTTTATGACAAGTAAGATAATATGAATTACAGAATGTACAACGTTTTTAAAATGTATCAATTGCGGTGTACAGCGTTTATTATGAGGGGGTAGAATCCACAGCTCAGTACTCGCTACTCAATACTCATGAGTACTTTTAAATAGGCTACTCTTTTACTCTTACTCAAGTAGTTTTTTGGACAAGTACTTTTACTCTACTCGCACTACATTTTTTGGAAGGTAATGGTACTTTTACTTGAGTATATTTTTTCAGTACTCTTTCCACCACTGTCTGTAACTGATAGCAGAGCCGTGCTGCAAACTTTCAACGTTTTTAATATTTTATCTTTAGTTTATAAAACCTCCACCTCGCTTCAATCTATAAATCAGCATCAGCTTCAGGGAAATGACCTTTAAAGCCCTGAAACTGAATCTGAGAAAAGGAAGATTTATTTCCTGTCCCCAGAGTTCCTTTCCTGGAGCATAATAATAAACACATTAGGTCCATCACACTGCTCATCCTATCTCAAAAGATCCGACGGTACCCGTATCAGATGTGTGTCAGCATTTTAAGCAAATTAGACTAATTCCCATGCTAATCTTTATTTTTAATCCTGCTGACCGATGTTATCGAGTGGTCTTGTGCAAATGAAGTTAATGGGATCGTGATAGCACCACCATTTTCCGTAATGGGTCAATGGTTTTGGATTGATGTCGCCGTGATTTTGTTTGTGATGCAATCTAATGTAATGGTGTGAAAGACAATGTGGGAGCTGATACAGAGAAGTTAATTCTTACTATGAGTTTTTTTGGCTGTCTGTAATGCTGTCTGCTGTGACATTTCATTATTCATTGCTGGCCTTTGTCTTGATGCAAACAACTTGAGTTCTGCAGTGACAACTAGATGCATTCTAATATCGCTGCCACCTAAAATAGCCTCCGTGAATCTCAGCGTAACATTTGAGTGAAAGCACAAAGTTCTGCCTTCAGTACTCGCTACTCAATACTCATGAGTACTTTTAAATAGGCTACTCTTTTACTCTTACTCAAGTAGTTTTTTGGACAAGTACTTTTACTCTACTCGCACTACATTTTTTTGGAAGGTAATGGTACTTTTACTTGAGTATATTTTTTCAGTACTCTTTCCACCACTGCCCAGGTGTATATGACTTTCTTCTTTCAGACGAATCCAATCAGTTATATTAAAAATTATATAAAAAAAGAAGAAAGTCATATACACCTAGGATGCTTTGAGTGTGAGTAAAATACAGGCTAATTTTAATTTTTGGATGAACTAACCCTTTAAAAGTATACACATGAACCTATCTCTCTTATATCTGTTTTTCCCTAATACAGGGCGAATAAGAACATCACTCTTACTCTCTCATGGAATGTGGTGCCAAATGCTGGAATCCTGCCATTGGTCATGGGATCAGGACACAAGAGTATGGCCTTCCCTGAAACATATGAAACATCAAAGAGCTACTGAACTGTTTCAGTCCATCCCAAGCCATATTTGTAAATGTTGTGCTCCGTACCGGTTTTAATAAAAGTTGACAAATTGTTTTAAGGAGTGACTTGTTTAAGGGGGTTATGAAAATAATTACAACTTGTATATTTAACGGTATATGACTAATTTTTATTAGGGATGGGCATTCCAAGCCAAAATAATATTCGAAAATCGCAGGGTATTATTCGATTATTATTGAAAAATCGCACCCCTCCCCCGCATGCACGCACAAATACCCATAAACAGAGAGAGAGATGGGATTCAAGCTTTCAATCTGTATAATAAACTGTATAATGATCGAGATTAACGATCACACATACGGAGCAGCACTGGGCAGTACTTACCACACATTTTACAAGATTAGATGTTTGTCAGTGGTGCTCAGGATCTGCAAATCATTCGCCATCATCCTATCAGTCATCTCTCCTTACTCTGTTTATGTGGCAAGTGAAATGTTAACAGGCTACTGCTAGAAAGCGGCTAACCATGTCCCTTTAATCGCTCCGTAGAACGCGTTATTTGTTTTCCGCGCCTTTCTGAATACGGATTCAGCCACACCTCTAACCCAGTCGGGGGTGTTTGTGGTCCGCACAGAGCTCTTATTTGACATCATCCCAAGTTATTGTAACCATATGCTACACAAGTATTTTTTTATGCCACGCAAGTCTACAGTGTGCGTGAGACAATGTGTTCTTCTGTTGTTTTTGACAGCTTTTAGGTGCGTTATTGGCAGCGCCACCCTCTGCTTACATGAACGCGTCACCACTGCATCAGCACGGAAAACATGGGGACGTTTTAAAGACAATAATCGCACAATTTGATATTCTATAATTAAATCAACTAATCGAATATTCGAAAATCGTGACCCATCCCTAATTTTTATAATATACAAACACAATATAGTTAAATTATATATAGTTATTCTGAAAATTTGTAGTTATTCTGATTCTCATTTTAAAGATGGCAGAAGTTTCAAAAAACATTTTGGACAATGGAGTATTTCTGTGCCCCATACACTCCTTCCCGGTGTATCTGAATTATTTTTTCAATCTTTTACTATTACTGTTTTACTTCAGTTTATAAAATCTGAATATTTTATATTTACATATTCTATTCATAATAAATTACAGTTACTTCTGGAAGTTACTTTGATACGTCCCAGACCACGGTACAATCCTTTGCAAATGCAAAATTGCAACGTTGTTCCCTGATGGCAGTGGCCTCTTTCAGCAGGATAATGTACCCTGACACACTGCAGAAACTGTTCAAGAATGGTCTGAAGAACATCACAGAGTTTAAAGGGGTCATATGATGCGATTTCAATTAGTCCTTTCTCTTTGGAGTGTTACAAGCTCTTGGTGCATAAAGAAGATCTGTAAAGTTCCAAAGACTAAAGTCTCAAATTCAAAGAGATATTCTTTATAAAAGTTAAGAGTCAGCCACACCTACATAAAACAGCTCGTTTTAACACGCCCCCACATGTCTACGTCACGATGTGGGAAGATTTGCATAACGCCGCCCAAATGTTCACACAAAGAAAGAAGGCGTAACTTTTATTCTCGCTGTAGTTTTGTTGATTCCGCCGCAATGTCGAAAAGACACTGTGCTTCATTGTAAAAGCGAAACTACTTTGTTTGGTCTTCCAAAAGAGGACGATATCTGCTTCGTCATGCCTGGAGCTGATCTGTGCTGGTTGCTGAGGAAATACTACAATTTTGCGCTGTGGATTGCCGGATCGGCTTTCACCGTGGACGAAGTTTCAACCCAAATATTCAGATGTGTGCAGCACATGTTATGGAGGACTGTTTCCTGGAAGAGTAGACTACAACGCACTGGATAGCTGGCCAATCACAGCACACCTCGCTTTTTCAGACCGATGAGCTTTGTAAAAATCGACGCGTTTCAGAAAGGCAGGGCATAGAGGAGAAACAATAATGTACAGTATGTGGAAAATAATGTGTTTTTTTAACCTTAAACCGCATAAACACATTTCATTACACCAAATACACAAAATACTGTTCTTTTTGGCAACATCATATGACCCCTTTAAGTTGTTGCCTTGGCCTCCAAACTCCCCAGATCTCAATTCAACTGACCATCTATAGGATGTGCTGGATTAATATATTCCATTGAGTCCCCACCGAGCTGATTAAGCTCTGTGAATGTGGCTTCCAAATTCGATCCCAAGTATCCATTTAGTAAAAAAAAAAAACACACACAAAATAAGTAATTGTTAAATGATTAACAGTTTTTTGTTTAAAATTACATAATCTTTTGAAACAAACTGGCACTTGTTACACAGAACAGAAGGATATATTTAAGTTTTTAAATAGATTAAAATCTCATTCATGAGAAACTACTCATGATGTTTCTACGAGTAAGACACTTTTGGACAAAGGAGTCTGCAAAATAAGTAAATCTAATAAATGTTTATATTTTCAGTATTAAACCAAACAATCAGTGTTGATCCTTCTATCTGTGAGACCTTCATTCAGTCTGTTACTGTTCATTTCTGGGTTAGTAGTGTCTGTCTTTTTACTTAGCCATAATTGCTCAATCTATTTCAATCAGACAACTGCATACCTCAGATAATAATGTACGTGAGTTTGACGACAGACTGTCATTTTCGCCCAGATCTTCTCTCGTGTCTCTTGAAAAACCAGTTTCACCGATTGATACAGAGATGAGTTTGAGTTTTTCTCAGAATGCCAGTTCAGAGAAGGAACAAGACGCCTACAAATGTTCTCATTTTTCATGGTAAGTTAGTAAATACCTCTTCATAAAATAATGACCTATATAGAGTTTCAGTATCAGTCAGTTTTGAGACATTGTGCATCACAATAGTTTTTGTGCTCATTAAAGGGATAGTTCACCTAAAAAATTAAAATTCTGTCATTAATTACTCACCCTCATGACATTCCAAACCCGTAAGACCTTTGTTCATCTTTATTACACAAATTAAGATATTTTTGATGAAATCAGAGCTTTCTGACCCTGCATAGATAGCAACGATACCATGTTCAAGGAAGGTTGTAAGAACATTGTTAAAATAGTCATGTGACATCAGTGGTTCAACCTTAATTTTATGAAGCTACGAGAATACTTTTTGTGTGCAAAGAAAACAAAAATAATGACTTTATTCAAAAATGTATTTTCTTCTGTGTCCGTTTTCTATGGGCATTCTCGACAGTATCACGACGCATGCGTGTGAGAGAGTACTGGGTGAAATATCTAAAACAATGAGAGCTGAGTATGTTACGCAGTGTCCGCAATAGGCAGGGTCCTCACTGACTGGTGGTGGCAAAACTCTGAATGGAGTTACGCCCACTGTGGTAAAACCACACCCACTACCCACCCCCCTAACACTGACAGACAGCTATGCACATATACACCTCTTGACAGGCTATTTAAAAGGGATGCGAGTGACTTATCCTTACCTAGACACAAAATGAAGTTCCAAACGTAGGTTTGGGAGGAGCCTTATCATTCGGTCCTGTCAATCATCATTACAAGCCCACATAAGCAGCTCTCATTGCACCTGTCCCAGTGTCAATTCTTCCGGCATCCCTCCACCTCCCCATCTCCTCCTCTTTTTCTGTTTTTCTCTCTCTAGGTAGTACCACAATGGGGGGTTGAACTCGGTGCTCAAGCCGAGCCTTGTGTTTGAGCCTCCATTAAGGACAGCAAGCCAAGTTCGTTTAACATTAACTATCAGGACTGGATGGGCAGGCGAGCTCGTGAAATACAACCGGTGGGTTTATACGATGGCATTTTAATGCCACATTAAAAAAATAAAAAGAATCTAAGATTAAGAGAAATAAATCTTAATATTTAGAGAATAAAGAATTGATTGCTAATTCAAGCCTGCATGATTGGTGGCGCCAACAAACAATGTTTTTTTTTCCTCATGTATGTATTCTTGTATATGGCTTTAATTTGTCTGCTTAACATTTTTGCTAAAAAAACACTTTAAATCATCACAGAGTGCTTGTAATAAATACTGATTATAATCTAAAGTGGATTTTGATTCTATAATAGGCAGACATGCATTCTTATGGAATTTTTATGAGGGGTCAATCAAATTTTGACACTTCTGACACCTGGTCCCCTCTCTTGTGTGCATTCCTCTGCTTGTAAACAAGGCGCAGCACATCTGGGTTCTACATCAGAATGCTGGCTCCTGCGTCAGCAGCACCCCACATATGCGTTGGTACTCTCATGAATGCGCATTGAAAACTGACACGGAAAAGAAGAAATTGCTGAATAAAGTCTTTATTTTTGTTTTCTTTGCATACAAAAAGTATCCTCGTAGTTTCATAAAATTACGGTTGAACCACTGATATCACATGGACTATTTTATTGATGTCCTTACTATCTTTCTTGGATTTCATCAAAAATATCTTCATTTGTGTTCCAAATATTAACAAAGGTCTTGCAGGTTTTGAACGACATGCAGGTAAGTAATTAATGACAGAATTTTCATGTTTGGGTGAACTAACAAATGGGTTTTTTTCTGCTTGTCCTTCAGGAGTGAATCAGTGAAGGGTGATGGCGTCTGTGAATCAGAACTGAAGGGGGATGACATCTGTTTCAGAGCAGCTTCTGGCTCTTGATGATCTAGACACAGATAAACTGAAGAGGTTTAAATGGTGCTTAAAGAATTGTTACAGTGTTTCAGTCACTGATCTGGAGAAGGCAGATGCGCCTGACACAGTGGATCTGATGATAAAGTGTTTTGAACCAGAAGAAGCTGTGAAGATCACCGTGGACATCCTGAGGAAGATGAACCAAGAACCATGTGGCTGAAGAGTTAGAGAAGAAACACAGGCAAGGTAACGTTACAGTGAAACTGAAATTTAACTGTGCCATGAAAACACAAATCAATTTAAACTAAATAATTAATTTTTCAAAATATATCAAGGTCCTTTTAATTTATCAAATATGATCTTTTTCTATAATTGGTGTCTGACAGAGTGAACGTTTCCAGAATAAATGTACTGTTGGCTTTGAGCTGAAGCTTTTGATGTGCTTGTGTGGTTTAATGTCACTGTACTTTCATTCTGATATGGTTCTCTCTCATAGCTCAGGCTGAAAGCAGTATTGAGGATCCTGCCCCTGTTGGAGCCAAATT